TATAAATAATGTTTTAGCTTTAAAAAAGGGCCTGATGCAGCTGATAACATTAATATCTATCAAGTATTGATATCTATAATTTACAGGGGCTATGCCTCAATTTGTCAGTAGAGTAGATGCTTGATCATAAGCCAGTACGAGCACAGTTGATCGAAATCCAGATCCAGCACAGACCCAGTCCAGACATCTTAGCAGGTCAGACCCAGGTGATACGCAGGCAGCCTCAGCCAGTACGAGCACAGCCAGAAGAGCTTTCCATTCAGGCGTGCTACAGACAGACAGAGGTAGTGAGAGCACTGCAGTGTCAGCTGTGACTTTGCAGCAATGGCTACTTGGTCACATGGCTCACAGGTCAGGTAGGAGGGCCATGCCAGAATTTTTCTTAGGTGGTGACATTGTGCCACATAGTGGTTTGGAATGACGGGAAGCTTGAGCGAGTTGTTTACAGACTGCCGTCGCTGTGGAACACGAATCTGTCATGTATGTATCGGGTCCTACTGATTAGGATGTGGGAAATCAATATATCAGCTGATTGATCAGTGTGACGGGTGTTAAAGGTGTAAAATAAACTCGTGCAACATCAGTGTGAAGATGTTGAGTTGATGACTTTAATTAGTTTTAATCCTAACTTTTTCCAGATATTGATCACAAAGAAATCACACGAGCTACTTAACTACTAGCAACCAGGGCTTCACAGGAAAAGAGGCAAAATTAATCAAAGTGTGAGCTGATCAGATATAAATAAAATGTTATTATTATATCATATACACACTTTTTAAAAACTTTTTTAACTAACATGAATTAGGATTAGCAAAACAAACAGTTGATTATTGGACAAATTGTAGCACAACATCTAAAAGTAAATTTTCTGTTTAAAAAATTTAATTATTTAAACCATGCACTTTTTTTCCTCCCGGGGCAAAGTTGACCCGGTCCCGTTTGCCTGGTTTTAAAGCATCCAGTTTAACTTATCACCCAATTATGTGTTACACCTTCTTAGCCAACTGCATTCCAACTCATTACCACTAGTTCTACACTTCTTCTTGGAATTTATGGTCAATCAATCTCATTTATCTTATTTTTTAGTTAAAAAATTTAGAAACTCTAAGTTATCTTGACTAATAGTTTAAATGAGAGGACTATAAGTTGATGGACTATCACAGACTGGTATTTGTCAAAGTTGAGTCAGGATACTGTTTTAGAAGCATTGCATTATTTTTAAAGGTAGCACATATACACACCTGTTGTCCTTATGGGTCAAAACTGACCCGGTCTGGTTTCCCTGTTTCTAAAGCATAATGTAAAAAATGACCACCCAATTCTGTGTTACACAATGTCAGCAAACTTTATTCCAGCTCATCACCAATTCATTTTACACTTCAATAAACCTCATTTACATTAATTTTAAAATTTTTTAGGAAACCAGCAGAAATTAATATATATATTTTGGATAATCACAGACTGATATATATTCCTAGGTCAACATTTGATGGAATTTTATTCACAAATAACAGAGTAAACAAGAGCTAAATAAATTATTTACATAGAACATTCAACATTTATTTCTAAAACTTAAAACTTCAACATTTCAAAACTTGTATAATATACATGTTTATTACTTACATGTGTAAGTGCAGGTGTGTGTCTCTGTGTGAATGTGCTATCATTTGCATGACAGGCAGTCTGTGGTGGTAATGGCATGTTTTTTGCAAATGTTTGCAATTTTGGCACCTGATGCAGGTTTTGAGATCACCAGTGCAGAATCGGCACCTCTTCCTTGTGGCTGGGTTAGTAGGAGCTGCTGCGGAGGTAGAGGGTCCATCTGTCTGGATTTCTTGGCTGTGGCTCAGGAGGAAGAGCGGGTTGGCCGTTAATCGGAAGGTCGGCGGTTCAATCCCTGCCTCCCCCTGGTTGCGTGTCGAAGCGTCCTTGAGCAAGATACTGAACCCCTGCCTTGGCTGTTCCGCCAGTGTATGAGTGAATGTTAGTTTCCGTTTGAGCACTTAGGCTCAGTGAATGCAGATGTTGTGTAAAAAGACTAGAAAGGCGCTATACAAGCACAGAGCATTTACTTATTGCCATAAACACGACGCCCCTCCTTGTTGGTCATGTTCAGCACAATGTTTTCAACTTGGTTTGGCAGAAACAGTTGAAAACATTATACTATCAACGCGAGCCACTGCGTACCTTGTTGGACCCCTGGGGCTCCTCTCTCTCTCTGCTACCAACATGTGACGTCTGTCACTAGGAGGGATGGAAGACCACAGCAAACTTCCATCTTTTGACTGGAAACACTCCATCTGAGGTTCCTCTTCCTCATCACTTGATTCTTCCTCATCTGTTGAAGCATTATTCTCATCTTCTTCGCAACTGTCCTCTTCCTCTGATACATCCTCTTCTTCTTCTTCAGATTCCTCCTGGTCTCTCAGCTCCTCATCAGGGTTCCAAAGTAATTCAAGAGCCTCTGTCAAATTATAGCGTCTCTTCATTGTGCTTCCCCCGTCTGCATCTCAGACTAAAATGGGTAAAAGGCTGCAAAAGCTCAGACTTTATAAGCTGTTTTGAAAGGCATTTCAAAGGTGTGAAAAGAACAAGTGTACATGTGCTGTAGCTTAGAAGTTCTGTAGCTTAGAAGTTCTGTAGCTTAGAGGTTCTGTAGCTTAGAGTTCTGTATCTGGGTGTGTGT